GAGAGAGGAAGAGGTGTACAAATAAACTTTTAGCTACGCGAGAGAGAGAAAGAGAGAAGCATGAGAATCGATATGCGCAAGAGGGAAAGCAAAGAGAAAACACGAAAGTCGGGCAAACAAAGTAAAATTTTAAAGAATTCGATCAAGCCGCCGTGGCGCGAATATACAGTTTACACGTGGATGCTCGTGCGGCGATGGCAGCGCAGACGAAACTCACCGACAGGAATTCCAGTACCGTGTAATTCGCTCGAGCTCTGGCTCTGTCGGCATTCCGCACCCGCCAACTCTCTCTTTCTCTCGTTCGCGTGGACGTAACGTTCGCGTGCTCTTGCTTAGTTTTTCTAGCATATAGTTTTTCCATCATTTACTCGTCACGTATTTTTTCCCTTTCGTTTGCCCCTTGTCGCCGCGTCTTTTTACTCCGTGTATTACTTTTGCCTTCTTTTACTTTTTTACGTATGCGCCACTTGCATGCTTATTATTCTCAGACGTCTCTAGCATTTGAAGAATGAACTTTTGTTCCCCGTATAGCCAGTGATTACTTTTGAATGCAGGTTTCGCCTCCGTCTTCAATGTTATAATGCACGAGATCAAAATACTTGGTTGTGCAAGTCAATCTTTACGTGACTTATTTTTTAAATATATTTTTATTACGAATTTACGATATTTAAGTTTGTATACTTTTGAAAACATTAAGTAATTCTTGTTGTGAAAAAAGTACTATAATGAAAAAGCAATATAACTTTTTAAACAAATTACCGACCAGAAGTGAATTCTTATTATTTTCCTTTAACGTACTTTATCACCAAAAAATCCATGAAAATGAATGATCTTTTATCGATTGCACCTATTAATTATTCTTTGTCATCCAACTTTTTTTTTTTTTCGAAAACGGTAACAAGAAAAAAACCAACTAATTTTTCATAATTATGCTTAATAATGCTGTATTTTATGTTACGTTGTGTGGATCCTCAAAATAAGTCTACAATGAATCAGGCTACGAAAATTTTTACAGAGCGACCAAGTTTTGTAGCATGCATGTGTATATATATATATATTTAGAGTATATCGTGGTGCTCTAATCAATTGTTTACCAGTCAAGTCATCAGTATATTTTTTAGCATAGCAGAGCTGCAAGAGCAGCGAGGAGGGCGACACTTGTTCAGTGTCATACCTGATGTATTTTATCATGTTCAGTTGCTTCATCTCATATACATTTGGTATTCAATAAAATTTATGTAGTGCTTTCAAAGACAACTGTAAAAACTTCGATATAAATAATACTTGAACATCCTCACACGAAATTTGGTTTTCAAATGTCCATAATGACTCAGATTTTAATCATTATTAATCGTGTGTTTACGTGTTTGCTACTATAAAGCTTGTATGATTGTACAAATTGAAACAGGAAAGCTATAAAACCTGACATTACAGTTTTTATGCATGAAGCCGTAATTACAATAGTTTGATCATGATGTAATCATAAGTTTATTTTTAAACTACTATATTACTAACTTTCATATATACGTATACTCACACACACACACACACACACACACACACACACACACACACACACACACACACACACACACACACACACACACACACACACACACACACACACACACACACACACACACACACACACACACACACACACACACACACATATTTGATACGAAGCAGACTATTAAATATGTTCATCGTCTCTCAAATAAAAATGAAACTTTACTATAATTATAATTTTAACATCTTACAATTTAAACTTGTATTTTAGCTGTTACATCACTTTTCTAAGTCTACCATAATGTTTCTTGTATACGTCGAGTTTCTTCGATTCTTCGTGCATGTATGCGTAATTTCTCTTGTTGGCAGTGCATCACGGAAGGTCTCGCGAAATAGGATATCGACTCATAAAAGAGATTGTATGTAAGTGCAATAGTATAAAATGAAACTTACTAAAAATTACACTAAGTTGGATTGAAGAAGACTTGAAGTAGTTAGGTGACTCGAAAGCTGTTGTGCAGAATAAAATTTGTTAAACGTCTCTTGAAAATTATTTAAAGGCTTTTTAGTATTTCGAATATTTTGCTGTTTTATACCGATAAATCTTAATTAAGCTATTAATCTATTTTTTTATTGTTAAATTTATTGTCAAGATGTATATACAGTATCGAAGTAGAAGACTCCGCGTATAGTCAGGCGTGTTCATCAAAAATTAAAAACAAGGAAACACCTATATATTACTATTTCCCTTCTTCCTTGCTTCTCTTTATTTTCGTTAAAAAATTGAAAATCTTGGCAATTTCCGACTATCTTTTGATCTTGAAGTCGCTGTCTCTCTAATTCGCTTTGCACCTACGTGATAAGGGTAAACAACAAAATACCGAAGGTCATTGATACTCGAGTTGTTTGAAAAAGGTCACGCGATTTTATTAAGATACGCCGAACGCGAAATTTTTCTTTGTTCAGCATGCATGACACGTTTCTTTTACCTAGATACTTGGCGATTTGTATTTCACTATGTAACATTGAAAACTGATTTACTTTTTTTTGCATCGATACATATTCTATACATATATAAAGTGTATATTCAAGGAAAATGTAAGTTTATGTACATAATATTTTTGTTTGATTTATAAGAAACAAGTTGGTAAACATTTTTTTATCCGTTTTTTTATTTACGAGATGAAAAATGTCTTACTATTTTTATGTATTATTCAAATAAATACAGAAAAATAGTACATAAGTTTTCAATTTTGAAGCGGCTTAAAGAAATAAAAATCGCCAAATTTCTAGGTAAAAAATATATCATACACGCTAAACAACGAAAAATCTGTCTTTTGGCGTATCTTAATAAAATCTTTTTCAAACAACTTGAATAGCAATGACCTTCGGTATTTTATACTTTATCCTAATCGCGTAGGTGCGGAGAATATCGGTGAGACATCGACTTCAAGATCAAAAGATAGCCGGAAATTGCTGGAATCTTCAATTTTTTAACGAAGATAAATAAAAGGAAGTAAGAAGAAGGGAAAGAAGCGGGGCGCAAGAGAAACGATCCGGCATATTGGATGAGCACGTACACTATCCGGCTGGCCGCCTACGTGACGAGCAGGTGAAAATAGATGTGGGTGGTGGCACACGCCACTTGACTTTGGACGCGCAAGCGGCCGACTGTAAAACCCTGGCCCTACCCCCCAGCGCTTTCTAGTTTTCTGATTAAGCTACTTTATGACACGACTCGAGCATATTAACTTTTCAAATTTGCTGCTCGCATTTGCTTATGACCATCTACTACGCAACTGTAAAATTTTTTTTATTATTACACGTTTCTGAATTTCTATGAAACATTATGCTCGTGTACCCGCATGTTCCTTTTTACTTCGCTTGGATCCTGTTTCATTAGATTATCTGGTTCAAAAATACATCTTTTACATCCACACATCGATATGTTGGAAGCTCCGTCGGCATAGATCAATTTATCGATCAAACAGTAAATTATTAACCAACGCGTGAATTTTTTTTATACTGCCGGGGCAACAGAGTCTTTACTGACGCCTCGTTCAAGCCGAGACAATGAAGCATGTCGAAAAGAATGCACAACCAGTTAGTACGAGAAAAGCCAATGGTCTTCGGAGTTATCAAGTGGTCGCTCAAGAGCCCTTCAATTTATTGAGGCCTTACCAGTTCTAAAATAAAGCCTTAAAACAGCACCATTTGCTGTTGCGATTTTATTTTTTCGTCAAAGAGACAAAAGACCAATACCTACATCGCATCAACATTCGAACTTGTATTGTTTCGAATGAAAATATAAAGTGTTTAATTATCCCGCATTTTTCAGCTGATTGCGTCGCATTCAAACAGCTTATTTGCACGCGAAGCTGCACCAGTAATCACAAATATTTCTTTCTCAATAATTAATAATCAGTCATAATAATATTGACTCATCGAGAAATAAACAGCGCAGCGAAAATTCCGTCTGGTTAAAAATTTGGAGAAGGAAATTGGCGAGCTCGGTAGATCTGCAGGTCGGAGGGAATATATATATATATAAACAATAGAGGCAGGGTGTGGGATTGTTGGGAAGAGGCGTGCACGAGGGAGAGCCAGGCAGATAGGAATCGCGAAGAGCGGTTGTTGTGTGTTCAGACTCGGTATTCCTGCAGGGCTCCTTCACTGTACCCTCCCATTAATTCAAGAGGCAATACATGCCCACACAATGTTTGCGTTTTTGAGGTTATGAGAGGTACTCTCTTTCTCTTTCCCTCTCTCTACCATTGTTTTGCCCTTTCGTTTTCGCATTACCGTTATCTATATTTCTTTTCCAGCCGCGCTCGGCATGCCTCATTAACAGGAGGAAGTGCCGAGGACGATCAAAGTATCCGTCCGGCTAGCAGTAGTACGACTCGAGCAATGGGCAGGCATGGTGCAGCCCAGAGCATTCGAACATGAATTTGAATAATTGCGTGTGCATGTGTGTGCAGGTTGCGGGGTGGTTTGCGGCTGCTCTGACGCGTTTACAATAGCACGCGGGCGCGCCGCCGTACGACAGCAGTCCGTTACTTTGAGGGGGCGAGAGAGCCGATGAGCGCGCGTAAGTGCAGGCAACGGCTGATCGTCGTGCAGAGGCAAACGCGCGTGCAGCAATGCGCGCCGGAGAGCGCTGCGGGGAGCCGCGTGCGTTATTTTCGGGCGCTCGCAAGCTGCGTAGCTACTCGATGTATTCGATCTATAAGGCGTGCGCGTGTAAAGTCGCATTTTGCTCGGGTAAAAATAGCCATCGGGAGCCTCCTTGCGCGCGTGCAGCATCGTAAGAATGATTGCTATTGATCTGCGGCGCTGCATAAATAATGAAAAAGCGGGCATAGTAGCGCGCGTTGCTCGTTCGGCGCTCAAAAAAGGAGGCTACGCCGAGTCGCTCGGCGCGGACAAAGAGCCCATCGACGATCGCGCGGCGACGCGCCAACGTACGAAGCCCAAAGCCGAGCACTCACCGCAGTCAAGGTAGCTCGGGCGCCGCTCTCGTTCATCACGCACGTCCGGCGGCGGAGCGTTCTGGCTGCGCGCTGTCCTCGCACACGAGGCTCGTGCAGCAGCAGCAGCAGCAGGAGGAGCGGGGCACTGGGCTCGCCGCGACCAGGCACTCGACGGAGGCGGAGCGGGGCAGGCTGCGCCCGGCGCTGCTGGGCTGGGCCCAGCCTCAGGCGGGGGCGCTGGGCTGCTCGCTGGCCGGAGCGCCGAGAGGCGCAGCAGGCCGCGCTCGGCCCGACATGAGCTTGCGCCAGTGGCTTTGGAGGTTAGACGCGGACGGGAAGCAGCAGCGGCGGCGGTGGCGGCGGCAGCATTGGCCCGCCAGTCGGTCAGTCGGTCGTCGTCTCAGCCGCGCGGCCGGAGCAGCGGGCGCCGCGGGGAGGGGCGCATCTCGCCTCTGCGACTGCTGCTAGTGCTGCTGTACCTATGAGGCGCCCAGGTCGGAGCCACGCGTGCGCGCACTCGCTCGCTGCCTCGGGTTGCGCTCCGCGACGGCTGCTGCTGCCGTTGCTGCTACCGCTGCAGCTACTGGAGTCGCGCGAGCAGCTGGCGGGGCTGCGAGGGCGCGAGGGGCCACGGCGCAGTCCAGCGCCACCCCTCGGCGCACGCCCCAAGCCGCCCGAGGGCTGCGCGAGCCGAGTCACGGATCGGCCGTCGCCGCCGCCGCCGCGCCGAGGGCCCAAAGTGCGCCCCGCGGGCGCCGCTCCTCGGCACTCGCTCCTGGCCTCGCATCGACTAATTGCTCGGCGATTCTTCGTGCCTTATCTGTCCTGCTTTGTCACCTCCACGCCGACGGCTCTATTGTCTGCAAGGCCTTCTTCTCGCGGATGCGGCTGCATTGCCGACGACGTCTTTTGCTCAGCTTATTTCGATTTAAGGGAGCCGGCTGCTCTTAAACAGTTACAATTATAAGTTTTCTTTGCTGTGCTATAATAATCGCTCTAATAGTTATCATCATAAATGTTGTTTGTCTTCAAATACTCGCTAAATGCCTTAATTTCCTTCTTTATAAGTTTCAGAATCTCAATTAAGTGCCCTAGACAGGCCCCTAAACTGTAAAACCTTATTTTTAGAAAAAAGTAGCTTACCCTGTTTTTCTGAACGTTAGAGTAAATGAAAATTCATTTTAAAGGTTTAATTTTTTTCCTTTAGATCAGTACTACTAATGGAGTGAAGAATTTTTCGAAATAGTCAATTTTACCATTTTCATCGGAATGTTTACAAATTTCTTACAAAATTCTTTTTGGATACAATTGAAAAAGTTTTTATAAAAATAGTAACAAATTATTTCGAAAAACTCTTCACTTTATCTGAAGTATTGACCTAAAGAAAGATAATGAGCCCTATAAAATAATTTTTTTCCACATTTAAAAAAGTGTGATAAACCTATTTTTTGTTTTTTCAACTAAGGTGTTATGGTTAAGAGAACTTTCTAGCGCACCTAATTGAGATTTTAGCACTTAAAAAAAAGAAAATAAAAGTATTTACCAACCACTTCATGCCAATACAATAAAATATTTTTACATCATATTAAAAAAGACACAATTTTCACTGTTTAACATCTCATGTCGAGGACAATGCTGAAATTTTTCGTTGATTACTCATCAAATAACTAGTTTGCTAATTTGAAGAAACAGTTCAATAATCAATGGATTTCGACAGATTGTCAATACGTAACCAATCCTCAAGTTAATATACTAAACTACAGATGAACTTTATTTTTTCCTTTGCCGTTTCCGTTCCAACTTAATACTTTACATAGAAAATTGGTTGCAATTTGTTCTAAAGAGTATGTGCTGTTTTGTAAAATGCAATAGTGGTGACCACTTAATTAACTTACCTTTTGCAAAGCTAATTTAATTGTATCACTTGGAAATTATTTTTAAAACTGTATATATGTTCGCTAAAGAGGATTAGTGATAAACGTTGAGACATATCTATTGATTTGGACCTTGACTTATCTCAACTAATGAACCATGGTACAGAATAAAATGGGTTGCCGACAAAAATGATGTAATTTAAAAAAATGATTTATATTTGAATAACTTTAATTCATTGTTATTAAAGAAAAAAAAATTAAATAAAGAGTACAAACAATTTTATTACACCAGGGTCACTTTCATGTTTGATCTTGTAGTAAAAGGTTTTCAATCTGCATTGTATCAGCATTTTAGAGTGATTATCGTTCATTTATTGCAAGAGATTCAATTATAGATATAAATGTTACTAAAAGCCAAATAAAGCCATGAATCTTTTTTCACACACCCCTGATCGTTCAAATCTGATTAAATATTAAACGGAAGTTCCGTTAAATAGTACATCCGATAAAATGCTACGACTAGTGCATTCGTGTAGCAAAGTACATCCGACTATAATTATGAAACATACTATGCTTATATGTTCATACATCATATTCATTTACACGACCGCGGCCAAGAAGCGATTACACGTAAGAGCATCGGCACGATTGCGGTTCAAATTTGGGAAGCTGATCCACGACATAGATTTTAACATCGAATTGTAAGGTGCATAAACGTTACGCTCATAATCGCATTACTCCAGCAGCAGTAGCCGCGAACACGCAGTCAACAGGTTAGCGTGTTCCGGAAGCGTCGGTGGGAACAGGAAGTTCACCCTCTTCGGGCGTCCTTGCAACCTCGTTCTTTGGTCAGTGTGCCCACGCGCCTTTTCCACACCAATTTTCCCCTTAAAAGTCCATTTGCGCACTCTACGATCTTTGTGATTGCCATCATGCAATTTCTTCATTCTTGCGGCTGCCTTACGTGCAATGATTTTGAGAACATCAATTACGGGATTGTAGCTTCGGAATTTTAGTTATCTTTAATGACAGATTAATTTTTTTAAATCGAAAAAACAAACACTATACTTTTTTTAGAAAAGCAAATTTTATTAAATAATAATTAAAGAACATTAAGTAGTAACTGAATATTTACAAAATTAATACTCCAAATTCAACAAAATAGTTTTTTAAACTAAACATATATTTTTATTCATAAACCTGTACACTTCACTCTAAATTCTCAACATATATCGTGTCTTTTTTTACCTATCAAACATATACTTATACCATTGTAGAAAGATATTTGATTGAACCACAAATCAACATGCTAGAAAATTTTCATTGAAAAATTTCATAGCTTTTCGAAAAAAAAATCGATTACACTACTCTTCATAGACAAATTTGACAATATATAAGTACACAATGGCCCAGCCGACAATACTGCACTTATCTGAAACCCAATAGTAGTTGGATCATTTTACTTGGTGTTTAACAGCATTGGTAATTTATTAATTTCATCACATATTACTACTTACTATTCTGGTTATTAGTAAAATTACTAACATTTGAGTATTTTTCTAATGTTTCAGGACTTTATTGTACAAGGCCAAATTAAAGTGCTTTTGAGAATATCACAGAATTCCTTCTTTTCTCGTATTTAGCAAATGACAATAATTCAACTTTCTTTTTTGAATACATTTTCAAAGTCCGAAGCTCGTTTGAATCATAGTTTCATTGTCAATACTCAAGTAAAGTCTAGTTTATTTATTTATATTGTTCAGTATAACAGACTTTATCAAAAAATTTAAATTTTAACTATAAAGCTGTTGCTTTCTTCATCATGCGGTTTATGTTCCACTTATACAATTAAACAAAACGTATGTACAAAAACTCACTGGTCCTTTGTTGTTATTATAAACAACTAAGAAATTTCATACAATCGACAAGTATATAAGTTTATAAATACATTAGAGCGCACATTGGGACACTTCGCTCGGTGCTTTTTATTTTTAAATATTTTTCAATCAGCCATAGATATATGCAGACACAATCATAAATAGAAAAAAAGAATTATTGCAGGTTTTTTCAGTGTCATTTAAAGATTCGTATTTGTTACATAAATATACTAAAATATACAGTCATTTTGTGCTAAAGTCAATTGAACTGTCATGGTAGAGGCAGATATTCTAGGAGATTTATCTAAAGTCAAAATATACTTGTTAAAGGTGATTCTTCGTTAATTAATTAACCTGTTAACCGAGCGGGACGTATAAATACGTCAAAAGTAAACAATATCGGGTACGGGTAGGACATATGAATACATCCTCGATATTTATATTGCGCCCTGAAACGGGCGGGACGTATATTTTACTACTACTATAGTAATACGTCATTCATACACGTCTTAGTGGAAAAGGACGCGCCCGTTATATGTTGCGTAATTAGAAAGGGATTTCCCCGGTTAACAGGTTAATACTTTGTGAAGTTCGGTTTCAAAAATCCGACAAAAAAATTCTGTTTTGAAAGATTCTACAAAAATCGGTAGAGTGTCATTAAGTCTGTAGAAAGAAACAATTCAAATTTTCATTATAACATGTGATAAGTAAATCTTTGTATTATAAAACTGTTAAGAATTGAATTGGTGAATACTAAAAAATAAAGATAATATTTCACATTAGCTAAACTTCCAGTTAATTTAAAGTTTGCTTTGTCAATGCTTACTAGCTAAATTATGATTTTCGAGACTAAACTTGATGTAAACATTAACTAGAATCAAGTCTTTTTTGGTCTTAAAATAAAATTAAGATTATGCGCCGTGTTAACTGCATAATAGACATTCGCCGAGTTAGGCAGAACCATTTCTCTGTCGGGCAAAATTTGCGCTAAGGTAAATTGATCGGGATTACCCTCGATACCGAGCTTAAGCATAGCGTTGCGTATAACTTGAGGCGTTCTCTCGTTATTCGACAGCATTATAGATTTGTACAAAACAACGCCTTCAGTCTCGACATTGTCACTCTCCATCGTCACTTTGATTATATAAAAATCCGGAGAGTTTTTGTGCGAGTGACTTGGGCTCGACAGACCAGCAGCAGTAGCAGCTCCGTTTGAGGTTTGTGGTGTATTCAGCCGGCTCTGATTTGCACTGTTGCTACCACCATTACCACCACCAGAACTCAGCGAGATGTCGAGCGAGGGCAAGGAAGACGATGAGGACGAAGAAGACATCTGTGAGGGAGATGTTCGCCTGTCGAGTGAGTTATGCGGCGAGCTACAAGTTTTTCGACACACGTTATCCGACATTATAAAGTTGTCACAAGTCATTAAATAGAAATATGCAACATTACCTAGGCAAAGAATCCAAATCACAGTAGAACTGCGAGCTACTAGAGCTCGAAGTTGAAGCTATCGAATCGTTCTTACGATGACCAGAGTTATGATGATTATTTGAGTGATTATGATGGTGATGGTGTGAATGATTGTGATTGTGCTGGTGTTTCTTCTTGGCAGCCGACCGGTTGTTGATGGTACTGCCAGGTGGCGGAGCTTCGATTTGACAGCTCAGCCTGTAGGCCTCCCGATCGTCTAGAACCAGGATCGAGTGGAACCAGCGCTCGAACAGTGAATCCGGACTGAAGTTATATGCATTAGCGGCACCCTGCAATAAGCGTATTCGAGCGAGCACTTCGAACTCCTTGCGACGCTTGTCGAAGTTGATCAGGCCTTCGGCCACCGTGTCTGGGATGGCTGTATCGATCATCGTTAGGTCCGTTAGGAATGTGCCCAAGTACGGAATAGTGCCGTAGCTGATATTCTGCAAAAGACGAGTTAGTTTTAAAGTTAGTTTTGAACAATGTATGTAGGAAGGTTAGCGAGAGGAAGAGCCTTTACCCCCGCGTGAGTATTCTGTTTCTGAAGTATCTTTTGTAGGTGCCTGTCGCTCCTGCCGGCGGTGTCGGCAAACTTGGCAGTGCCCTCCTTGATGAGCAATTCCCTTTGTGTCCAGGCGTTGTTCTCCTCTGAGAATATCCTCTCGAGCTCACGGAATATCTCGTGCTTCTCCCTGGGCATACACTGCCAGCACTTCTCCAGCCTGTACACCGAGTTGCTCTGCAGGCCCGAAATAATGGCCTTGAGACTACTGAAGTTCTTGAGTATCCTCAGCTCTTGAGCGATGTCGATCCAAGTCTCGATGATGCGAGCACGCTCCTGTGGTTTTGTCCCTTCGTCCAGCAGGAGGACCGTCGAGATGACCCTCAGCGACACGGCGTTGAACTGATTGACCGTCGCGAGAACCGTTGCCGCGTCGTGGCTTCGAGTGCGATCGCTTCGCCTTGACCACACTGCTCCCAAACACTGGTGGGCCACGAGTTTCTTGAACACTTCGGCATCCATGCGCGTCAGCTGCTCGGCGAAGTGGCGATGAGGCACCTCCGGCAAGGCATAGCTAGACCAGTTGTCGTTGAACTCATTTGCGCAGTGCAGACCGTGGCTTTCATTATCGTATATTGCACACGAATTATCTGAAAAAGCCCAGATTTTGCGTAAGTTTACTTTTCTCTATAGCATTTTCTCTTGGACTTGCAGAGTTCCGTAACGATAATATTTTTTTACGGAACTAATTCGCAGAATGATGGTGTGAAGTTGAAAATTGAATTGCAGTTCAAAATACAGAAGGCAGTTTTTGAAATATTAAAACGTTCATACTATTCAGTTGTATTAAAGCTCGTGTATTAAAGCTCGAGGGTAAAGGATGATTAGTGGCGAACGTACCTAATTGATCCTCACGCTGTGAAAACCTATGCAGCCGATGCCTCACCTTGAGCTCGAGTTCGGAGCCAGGCAGTCTGCGATGCGCAAAATCGAGCAGCCTGGTGAGGAGCGGATGACTGGGCGGCGAGCGCCAGTCACCTGGATAGGCGTCGAGCCACACGTGCAGCGCCTGCACAAGGGTTTTGCGATGCTGGGCGTTGGCCGCCTCGTCGAGCGAATCGTACCGCGCGAGAAGCAACTCCAGCACTTCCCGCGGCGTGGTGAACGCGCGATATGTCGCCAGGAACACATTGATGTAGGTGGACTCGAGTTCGCCGTCGTCGTTGGCCAAACTCTCCACCAACTTTTGCACCGTGCCCGCCTTTAAGAAACGCACGCGCACCGTTTCCCATTCTAGGTGCGAGATCTCGTCGTCCGAGTCCTGAAAATACACCCAACAATCGTTAGCTTTCTCGTCTATTCAGCTCCACCAATACAGTCTCTTTGGTACATCGTTTATCAATCCGCAAAAATAAACCATTTCAATCTTGATTTACGCACGCAAATGATTTATCGTTCAACTTTTCTCATGACCAAATTGCGTAAACGCTCAGGGAGCTTTACTTCTATTATTCAGTATCGTGATCGCACGGATATATCTTGCGATTTTCCGTTGAAATTCATGAGCCGAGCTGTGGAAGCCGATCCTGCGCGTGAAAAATTCAGCACGGTTTCAAGTGAATTATCTCGGCCTGCGAGTACATTATTCACACATGCTAATGACTACAGATCACTCTAAGCTTCAAGAGTTTATCAATCGAGCGAATTACAGATGATAGCATCGGTGTCGACAAAGAGCTTTATTAGAAAATTATTAGTCTTATTCGCCCGATCGAGTTGGCCCGATTAACGACTTGCAACCTCTACTCGAATACAAAGTCACTTTGAGAACGAAAATTAAAATATTACACTTATCCACAAACATATAGACTTACCGAAGCAGAAAGACTCCTTGTAGGCCTGTGATAGCGGACTTTTTTGAGGTAAACAGTGTAGACAACGCCGTCACCTTTTTCCTCGCCCCAAAGACGCCACGTGGGCTGAAACATTCAAATTTCTTATAAATATTCGGCAAAAATATATACCTTCATCGAATGAACGATAGTATTGCACTCGACGGTACGTCAGGCATCTACAGCAACGAAAGAAGGTCAAATATAGGTGCTAGTCGTAAACGATGCCTCCGTTTACGTAATAACGTACAGAAGAAAAACAAATAGATTAGCAGGTGTTGTTCGTCGCCAACGAAAATATCTTTCCTCGGTGGTTTTTCGTGAATTGTTCGTATTAAACCGATGCAATGAATTTCGAAACGTACGAGTGTGAGCAGAGGTCAATTTAAAAGCTCCTTATCAATGTCAATCAATTAGTGCATGCATAATTCGCAAAGAGGAGGGCGTATTGGATTTTCGATGGGAACGCTAAGTAGGAGTGCACACGTGCACACGTGCACACGTGCACACGCGTGGAGCCTAGGTCGCGCTCTGAATTATTTCCGCGGGCGGCCGATCCGCGACGTCCGCGCCGCGGCAGCCCCCAAAAAACTACAGAAGAACTACGGCGTCGCGCGTGCTCGTTCCCATTTTTTCGCTTTGTTTGCTCGCCCAGGCGACGCAGCAAGAGGCACACTTTGACGAGAGCGAGAGAAGGAAGCCTCTCTCGTTTTTTCAGCGCCTCGACTGCTCGAGGCTGTGTCGCTGCTGCGCGCTAGGGCTCCAGATTAAACAAGATTGCAGCTCCGCGCGCGCAACGAGGTGAACGCCCGTCGGACGCGCTGCGATGCGCTCACCTGCCGGCGTCGAGAGACAGACTTAAGTCGCTAATACGTCGTTCTTTTATCGCTATTTTATTCGCAAAGCTGAACCATCGCAATTATTATTTTGTCGAAATTTGCACTTCATTGCCGACAACCAGAATGTTGGCTGTGTGGCAGCAGCATTGTCAGCTGTACCAAGCTGAATGGTGTATTATAGTTCCCAGAGAGAAGTCACGGTACACTTTCACTTTTTCAATTACGCGATGGAAAGAACTTGGCGTACAAGCTCGTGTACATGACAACATATCATTTTGGAATTGCATTTTATACCGACGTTGACACGCAAAATTGCATTATTTCTGTGTCGAGTATTGCCTAATTATTCGGCTGGCTAGTAAAGCGCTCGACAAACGCGACAGAGGAAAAAAATTGGAAACTGTCGCTTGACAACGCGCGAAACGCGAACGTACGCGGTTTGCATTACAAATGCGGAAACACGAACATTTACGCCCTCGGGCAAAAGTATCCGAATGCGCGCTGAATTAATTACAGATGAAATCTCGGTACGCATTTCATTGTGACGTTATCTCGTTCTCTAAGCGAGCTTGATGCTGCGGTGACGACCACTGTTAGCGAAGGATGTGCGTGGCTTTGATATTTTTTTCCTTCGTTAAAAAGAAATGCCGTGGAAAAACATTACGTACGTAAGTAAAAAAAAAACACGTTGTTTATTACTCGTAAAATAAACAGAACATAACCGCGCGTAGCGCGCAAGTATCGGTCACGAGATGATTGCATTCGACGCGTATACGTATACAGGTGAAATACCGCAATAACGGTTGTAACCGTTCGAAGCTGCGATCGCGTAGAAAGTGAAAATCCCGCGTGCGTATAGTACACGTAAGTTAAATGAAAAGATACGTAAAGGGCTGCTTTCAGTGAGACACTTGCAGCGGTTTTATCATTGCTCTTGATTGCACGACAAGAAACGTACACGAGATGCGCATCCTGTGGGAGAAGAGCGACATAGCTAGGCGCTCTGCTAATCGCTGGAAAGCGTGTCATTGCCAGCGTGTGGATCGCGAGAGCACGCACACGCGCCGCGCAATTGACTGGCAGCGAGTAAACCATTTTTACGCCATTCGTGACGATTGAAGACGAGACGGCGCCGCCTTCGCTCCCGCACGGGCTCGTCTGCGCCTGTAGACGTATGGACATTCTACCCGAGAAAATGACGGACTAAACGTGGAATCAAACGAAGGATGCAGCTTGCTGCTGATCTCGTTGTGCAAGCGAGCCTTCGCGGCACGCCTCTGCGCTCGGCACTGCTTTGTTGCAATTTTTCTGCGACCATGCGAATGCAACTTTACGTAAATTAATTGGGAGTAGAAGAGTTTATGTTGCGCAGGGGAAAGCTTTGCGCAGAAAACTTCCGGCAGCGTTATTTTCATGGTGATTTATCGGCAGCATGCCTCTTATGATAACCGCTCATGCACGGAAACGACTGAGAGCCGAGTAAATAGGAAAGAGTTTGAAACGAAGCTGCGCTTTCGATGAAAAATGTTTATCGTAAAAATGCCTTGGCTGCTGAAGTGTCGCACAATCCATTTGCTGAAAGACAATCTTCTATTGTACAGTTTGCAGTAGCTGCGGAATCACTGATGATGTTAAAATTATGCATCGGCAAAACGTCACGCGAGCGTTTAGTCATCGCCGCAAAAAAGTTGCCTTGCTTATCTTCCGGACGGTGTGACAAAAAAGTCGACTCTCCGTGAGTCGACAAAAGCAAGGGTATCAGGCGTCATTTTAATAGTTAAAGCAAGCGACGAGGTCGACGCGACGCCTCGTCGCGCCGGTCTCTCCCTAGCGTTTTTTTTTCTTTTCTTCAGGAGCAAGTAGAGAACAAAAGAGCGAGCAATCGAGTGGTCTTGACATGAGCGTGCGTATACATCACAAGGAGGGACCCCCACCAGATGAGTAAGCCTAGCGCACGGCTATTATCAAGTCCTTCGTACGCGACGCACCAGCACACACGAGCTGTTCGCTCGAGTAACTGTGCAGACGGACGCGAGCAAGAAGACTATCAGCGAAAGCGACGCACCGCAGTAATGTCTCCAGCGTATATGTACGGGCTCGTCAGCGCGCGCATACGCGTACTTTTCATCGATGTTTGGTTTGCTCTTCAAATTTGGAGCAAACGTGGCAATGATTACTCATCGTTTCTTTGCTTTGTACCTGCGCCTAATTTTTATTCTTTGTATTTTTATTTTTGTGTATTTGGACTTTGACTTCGCTTTAATATTTCATTTTCACCTGATAATTAGCTCCTGCTCCAGATTTCGTATAACAATTCAATGGATAAATCTAATGAAAAATTCAAGCTTCACGCGTAAATAACCAATTGAACGAAAGAGTTGTGACTTGACAGAAAATGTAAAGTATCACGGGATACCATTCACGTTCAAAAACCCATTCCATTCTATTCGTCTACATATCTAATCAATGTAGATTTGGCCGGCTCACGGTCGTTTATTGATTTTTCTCCGCGACACATTCGAATTGAACGAGTTTGTTTAGGGTCGCACATGGACAAGGAATCCACGTAAAAATATGGTACGTCAAATGAAATTGTCAAGTTTCCTTGGTTTCTCGAGAAAATAGGGGAATCAACCTAGATGCTATAAGTCGCACGATTCCACGAAGTTCCGTTCCCCGACAGAATAATTACACGGCATCGTAGCTTTCGTACAAATGGCTGGACTCTGACTTTGGAGTAAACTAAGTAAAGAAACGCTCTAAAATATATTACTCAATGTTTATAAATAAGTTAATTTTTTTGCTCATTATCCTTTATAGAAATATGCATATTAATCTAGATGACGTATGTATACTCAAACCCGTTAGACCGTTCAAACGAAACATAAACGCGGATGTGAAAACGGCAAATATTCTGAAATTAAGATAACTACATTTTTAATAACCGGAAATGAGAAAAACGTTGAGTCTGGTTTTTAGATTACAATTTTTGAAACGACATTATAAAAGTGATTAGCAGTCAAAATGTGCTCCTTTGAATATTCCCCGAAAGTAAAATTTTATTGAGTTTCATACCTTTAAAAAACTAACGGAAAGTTTTGACGGCAATCGTATTGAAATTTAAAGATAATTGAAGCGAATGAATGGGATTTGGTTTGAAACTCTCTCTCTCTCTCTCTCTCTCTCTCTCTCTCTCTCTCTCTCTCTCTCTCTCTCTCTCTATTAGCTTCATCGTCCGACAAATGTGATTTCACTTTAAATCAATCGTCATTTATTCTTGAAATTCTTTTTGAAAGCAATTATAATCGATGGCTTTCCTGCCAGTGCTTGCGATCGGAACATATGACTTTTACATGAAAGAGCGCATATTGAAAATTACATTTGCTTTTGACGAGCCGGTAATTAAGTTTGCAATGTTTAAAGCACAAAATAGAACTATGTACTAACTTCGTGCCGAAGCCTATTGGCAATCTCTGTCGACAAGCAGTGTTGAAAGAACTTTTCAATTTATGATGAAAAGTATGTCGAGACATTGATAGGTGAACACGCGCTCGCGCGATGTATAATTGGGCGAGAAAACATAGCAACATGCAGCATGACAAAGAATAAATATGGAGAAATCCGGTGCGACACTAATCGCATACCAAGTCGGTTCACGTGTTTGCAGTTGGATTACCTGTTGGACATACCACTGTGTGGTGCAGTGGTTCTTGCGGATGGTGGGTTTGCAGGGTGCGCAAAGCAATAAAGGCGCCAGCTTGTTGACTGGCTTGCAGATGGGGGTCGAGGCGAGCGTCGGTGGCGAGACGGGCCTCAGGCCCTCGTCCCCGAGCGCCGGCCACAGCATCCACCGAGCGGCACTCCGCTCGCCAACCAATCGCACTTACTCTCACCAGTAGCCCATCGCTTTCGTCTGCCACCTAGTTTTTTCAGCAGCGCTCACATTTGTACTCAAAAAAATTTTTTTCTAGTTGCTTATCTCTCACTTTCTCTAAACACGACAACCATGCTCTTTGAAATTTGAAGATTTTCGAGACGATGTGGAGAGAAAAACGCAGTCAACGTGGCATTGAGTAATGCCTCGAAACGTGAAAGTGCTTTCTAGATGTGCCAGGCGCAAAGCATGCCAAACGAATGTAACATACGCTACGTAGCTAATTGGAAGTGACAAGTTTGTTACGCCTGGCAACGCTACTCATTATTACGTGCGTCTTCAATATTAGTTTGTGCGTACATGTCAATAGGCCTATGCTCGTTTCAACAGATCATTCTTTCGTAATCCGTTATAAGTTTTGCGGAACGCTTTGCGTAAGAAGACTAAGAAAATGTAGTTATCTCTATCATTATTACACGCACAAAAGAGACGTTGAGGCAAGGATTATGTATTACACACTGTTACCCGGATAGACGTCTATTTCAACTAAAATCAGACTGCCGCTGGAATCTTGCGATGCTCCGCAAGGTTGCCCATTAGCACATTCCGACACTGGCAAAGTCCCACAGAGTGAACGGCGCTGGCCTTTTTTTTAAATTGATGCAAAATTAGCATGAATATCAGAATTGGCATCTCGCAAGAAAACGTAAATATTTTTCGTAGCGGTGATTCGTCGAAAGATTCTCTATCTTCGTTCGTGAAAAAGCAATTGCGAAAATCGAGAATCACTACAGTCGAAGGATTTATATACGAAAATCCGGGGAAAAGTGAAAAGTTGCTGGTTGAACGATACACGGCAGACAAAGAAGTCGCTGCACCACATATTCCTGCTGTATCTAAATTTAGCGCCCGGCTGTAGAGCGATCGTCGCACGAATCGTCCGCGAGGACTGGAGGCTGAGAAGCTTTTGAGCCACATACACACACTCGTATGAGCCACTTAATTCGCATTCACTTATGTCGCAATTTGACATTTCCTCGTTAATGCTGCTCATTCCGTAGTAAACTGCGTCACTTATCAATGCAGCCACAGCTATATTCGACAACATTTAATGCCCACGCGTTTGTAGTGCACTTCGCGACAATTATCCACATGATTTCTCGATAGTGTTCAACTACTTTCCAGCTTCGATTGAAATTTTTGATAAAATTATATTTTCTTTATGATCGCGAGTACAAGGCAAATGCCGCGAAGCAGCGTGGACGATGCGCAATGAATAATCGATGTATCAATGATATCAGGCTCATTCACCATCTCGCATAACTTGCACTCGCGCTGCCGCGATAGTAGCGTAAGCACCTTGAGTCAATATCACGTTTCCACGCATATTCTTCCATGAATCACAAAGCTGTCGGCTGAAGCGAGTAATCGCGCTCGCGTGTTCATAGCTAGAAAGAGAGAGAGAGAGAGAGTGCGGATGGGCGTCGAGCTCTCGGTAGCGTAGAAATTCCAAGCAGCTTGCGAGAGGTGCGGGTGAACCCATATCGAATGCGAATATTGCCCGCAGTGGGCAGCTCGAACGAAAAGCAAGCAGGCCGGCAGTACGGCCGGAGCGCTGCAATGGCGAACAAGAGAGAAAAACAGCGGAATCGATCGATCGATCGATCGATTTCCTCGAAAGGTCAATACCAGCACGCGCTCGCGACGAGGTCGAAGCGCTTGGTAGTAGTGTGGTGCAAGGTGGCACGTCTGGTATAAGGGCGTGTCTTCGGGCGCGTTGCCTTTATATTCGTCGTCGTGCACTTTAATTTTGGCTCTGATCAAAGGTGAACAAGGCCCCAGAGCCACGGCGACGCTATTACGCGGGCTTTGCCCTGGAGCGCTATATTCTGCTGTTTGGCGCGGCCGAAGGCACCTCGCTGACTGATTGAATTAACGGTGTGCCTGGCAAATGGCCTCTTTGTGAAAGTTGCGCTCGGTTGATTAATAAGCGCTCTGCGATATCTCATGATACTTTGGCGTCCCTATATTCGCGTGGCATTGACTGCTCGGAGTAACCAATTAGAATGAATACCGCTGGTAAAAAGCGACGCGGATGATTAGTTTCGACGAGTGTTCGGCTGGTGCCTTGACGCCAGCGCAATCGATAAGAACCTCGCGGCGATAAGCCGGCCTTCATGGCTTAGCCAGCATTTCCGTATTAATCTTGACTTTAAACTCGCCAAGACGCAAACAGTTTACCATGACTCGCTCACAGTAGCGTCAATGAAAAATCCAATTGGTAAGTTCGGCGAACTGAGTTGCAAACAAGTATTTCTAGGTGCAGCATTTCAATAAATTTGATTGTCGATCTTAATTATTTATACGTTTGACCTAAATTCACTCGAGCAATGAAACTTGCAATACAGCTAACGATCAGCCAAGCTAAACGTAACAATTACTACCTCGTCGTCGAGCTTGCACGAACAGTCGTGAAAAACAATGAGCGCGCTATCGCAAGGAAGGACGTCCCGTTTTTCGGGCCACGAGGACGAGAGAGCGAGGCGGAAGGGATTGCATAAGCCGATAAAAATCAAGCGAGAGAGTTGGATAACCAAGAGCCAGATAAACACCGTCCTTTGTCTGAACCTCATTGTCTTGGTCGCTTTTCCAAGCTGCGCAGATGCGACGACGTACCTATGATTGAACGCGACCCTGGAATTTAAAGCGGCGTCTTTCCCACGACACAGATGTCGTCGATCGTTGTTCTCGCACAGCCTGCAACGATTCTAGCTTGGAGTTGCCGTGGAATGCTAATGCCAGCGAACCCATCACGACTCTCACGACGCGGTACATTAGTTCGAGTTTCGACGAGATTTCCGCAGCGTACATGTAGCGCACGTCTACATATAGTTTGAAGGATTATTACGCGTCCTCGTCTCGCCTGGCTCCTACGCCTCATTCCGAAATTTGGCTAATCCCGTTTTCAATTGCAATCCCTTGGCCCGTGGATTCGAGTTTGCGATTCGAGAACACTTGGACATTTTCATCACGAATTCGCGATGCGGCGAGCTTCGGGTTGTCGACAGTGCGCGGGATACGATTAACGAGCGTCATCAATTTCCCATCCTCGCGGAGAGAGATGAAACCATTCATCGAGTTTTAAAAATATTATCCAATGCCGAGATATCGTACAGTACGCCGAAGTATAATAATCGCGTCCTCTTATCCGTGGCGTCATATCGTGAATCTACGCGCACAGTTATTGAGCGGCCGATTCCGATCTGTCGGATAAAAGAGGCCGCAATTATCAAATACAATTGCACAGATGAAAGCTCGTGGTATTGAACGCTCTTATTGTATACACACGTGAGTAGCACACGCCGACCAATAAAGATCTCTCGGATAAGAATAATAAGGCAGAGATGTATAAGAAAAGAAGCTCGCTGTGCGCGTCCCACATTACGAGAATCGATCGCCGACAGCTGCTCGAGCAACACCATAGAGAAGCGGAGCGCGCGTGCGAGCGACAGATCTGACCGCTGATGATCCGCGATGATGATTCCGCGCTGCTCGCGAGTACGCGCGCGTGCGCCCACGGCGGCGTTCGATCGCGATGACGCGCGTACGACGCGATTACCGCTCTAAGGCGACGCTTTTCCATTCGCCGCGCGGGCTCTGCGTGTGCCTGCGTCCCTGTCGCACGTGCGTCTCGCCTGTCGCCGGGTGTGTAACGCACGTGCACCTTCCTCGTAGGTTCAGGCATCCGCGAAGGAGCCTTTTCGGCGAGATCGCACGAGCGGCCGCGACCAAACAAAAGCGCAGCTTTCACCCAGGTGCGCCGCGCGCGCACAAGGCGCTCGCCAGTCTCGCCGATACTTTTACAGATTCTTTTCAGCCGATTACTCTCCTTCTGCGAACACGACATGCGAACGCGAATTCTTGCAGTGTCGCCGGCTTTATCGAAAAAAAAACTCGGCTCGTTGCTACGTATCTTTGCATGCCGCTCGAGAACTACGTTTTAGGCTTTAGATTGCCGTTCTGACGTTTTTTAAGATTCTGTTTTCGTTTCGTGCCATTGGCTCATGAGCTCTCGGCTATACTCTTGTGGCCTCGCAAACATTCAGTTTTGCATGTGATTTTCGAAATTAATAAACTGGCTAGCAAAAAGCGCAATAAAACTTTACAGCATAATTGGCCGTTGAAACTGAACAACGAACGGACAGTATGCCTACTTATTATTCCCAACTCTCGGCGATTTTTTATACGACTCTGTACGTATCTAATAGTAATACAACCTCGAGAATTGTAAGCGTGAATCATGTAATAGTCAACGGACTTTCCGAGAAACTTGAAAATGCTCTACAAAAAATATCGCTTCTGTGAATAATATGAAAGTCAATGAAGGATAAAAGCTAGACTGAGATTTTTACAGAATGGTTTGCTGCAAAGTTTTGCAACAACATAGAAAACTTTCACAGTAGTTAGCATGAAACATACTTCACAAGGTGAGTTTTTATTTAGCGATAGCTTGATGAAACGGCTGAATGGTCAACGCCGATTACCATTGTAGATGATTCTATACGCGCACAGTCATTCAAGACAAAATCAATCTACTTTTTGAAAGAAACTTGTGGTATAAACGCACGCCTATAAAAAGATAATCCTTGAGCGTTAAAATATTCAGTGACTTTTATCGCTGGCCCGAGTCTTAAAAATTCAAACGACGATGAAAGGGATTGTTGAAATATCGACAAGAAATCTCAACTGACAATCTAGCACGATAACACGTGAGCTTTCTACTTTGCCCGTAAACACTGGGGGGTTCGCGTACTGCAATAAAAGCACATGGTCGTCGGTCTGAGCAGAGACAAAAGGAAAGATAACAGAGTGAAATTCAATTGGAAGTGATTCGCTCACCGCGTATTCGGTTGTTTACATACTGAGTCAGTGTTGAAAATGAAACAACTGGTACGGGCAGCCAGTGGAAATCACTTTATCGCACTCGTCGCGCGAACGGAGGAGAGGTGTCCGGTGCACACACGTCGACGTTCGGGGCACGACTGC